TGCACAGGTGATGTCACCACTCTAAACAGGCCAGCTTCTCACTTCCGCTTCTCAGTTTCTGCGCTGCAAGCTCCGTAAAATTCAGGGTAGCGCTCGGTTAGATGCCAGCGCTCGCATAGGATCGGCCACGCAGCATCACCAAGTGTGTGCACTAGCACGCGGTTTCTCTTAGGCAGCTCGTGCAAAAGAAGCTGGGCGCTAACCTCTTGAAGATAAAACTCGAGGGTTTTCACTCGAGCCCATCGGCCCCTCCATGCAATCCAAGGAACATCTTCGGTGCGGCCATAGAGAAAAGTCGCCCCGCTGCCGCGCAGCGAGCCCGGAGTTGCTCCGCGCTGAGCTTGTCGGTGGGGTATACCTAGGTGGGCCATGACGGCGTCCCACTGTTTTCTGAAAAGGCTGATGGAACCATTGTACAATCGGCAGTGCAAAGGGAAGTCGCCAAAGATCTGCTCTGCCAAATGGATAATCTGAGCATCATCTATTCGGCCGTGCTGACGTCTAGCAAATCTAGCTGTCTTTGGATTCTGCAGATGAATATAGAGGCAGGTCATATCAAAGCAAACATCTTTGGGAAAAACAAGATCTTTTCTTGTGAGGGCGATCATCTCGCTCGGATGAAGCATTGCTGCAAAACCCAGCAGTACGATGCCCACCCAAACATGCCAGCCCCAAAATGTTGCAACTGTGACTGCAGCTCGAATAGCTATCCCTGGAAGGACAGCCCTGCACTGACCTGGTTCATGGATCTGCCACTTTCGGTCGATTTGCCAGGCTAAGGTCAAAGACGATTTGCACTGAGGAAATTGCTCGGCCACCCCTGTAATTGCATAAACGAATAGGTACCTAGGTAAGCCCCTTTCAAAGAGTTGCACACCGTAGGCCCTCAGAGCCCATCCAACAGCCAAAGGGTCTTGCACTAGTCTATCGAAATCTAATCCGCAAGTATCTTTCACCCATTCAGCAAAAGCTTGCGCGCACTGCCGCATGCGAGAGGCTGTCTCAGGAGCAAAACCCACTGTCAAATCCAAAGCCCCTCGAGGATGCAAAACTCGTGGCTTTGCGCGTGGACCCGAAGGCCCTGGATTCAATTCTATGTCACCCGCTAGGATTAACAAAATAAAACGGATCCACCTTCCTGGAACACGGGCCACTCTGGAAGAATTCACTACTATGTCGAACGCTCTAGTGTCTCCATCTGCCAGTTGAGCAAGCCAGGCCGGCTTGTCCTTCGTCGGGGGGGCCAAAGGGCGGCCTCTGGAGGGGCCGTCAGCTTTGTTGGAAGCTGAATAGCAATGCAAACCACCCGGGTACAGATTACCTCCAATGATATACGCAATGCTACCTTGCAGAACCCTGCTAATTGAAAATGAACTAGAGCGGCCCTTGGCACTGGCCCCCAAAGTCACTCTGGAATCAAGCAATCCAACAAATCGGGAATCTCTCGAAGATTTGGCCATGTGTTTAATCCAGGACTTATAAGTGCGTGTCTCGTTTACATTGATATGGCCGGGTTTCACAAAATTGAATCTAAAAACCTCACGAAATGGCAAAGACTCACATATTTCGCCTATCCATTCAGGGTCCTCGTACCAGGGACGCGACGGGTATGGAGGCTCAGGCAAAGGCACAGCTGAAATCTCATCTAGCGTAAGGCCGACTTCAAGTGCAGAGGATGCCACGGCGCTAGCCGGCACAGGGGAAACGCCCGATCGAGCTGCTTCTTTGCTGCCCACTGCCATCGCTTGCGCCAGCCTGACAGGATAGATAGCTGAGAAGTCAGAAACCCGTTCTCCGGGTTGCGGCATGGTTTCATACACAGATTCAATACCTGGTCTACACCTTTCGTTGAAATCCTTGATGCTCGCCTCTGTGAAAGTACCTTCGACTACAAAGTGATTTCCTTTATAGGGACACGAACAGGAGCTCTGCAATGGCACTAGCCATGGCTTGTTGTGAAGCCACTTGGAAGGCTTGTGAAATCCACTACCAAAACAGCAAAATGCGAAATGAGTGATTACGCAGCCCAAACGAATCAAGGTTTGAAACACGTTCAGCAAAAACAAGCAGCTGTTTCGAGGCTGCTCAATACTGACAAAGGAACCATACTTCAGTGCCAAAATCAGTAATATGCCCACCCGCTGAGCTATCTTATTGTGATAGGCTGTGTAGGGGTCTGAGGGATCAAAGCCGAACGGGATTTCCTTAGACCTTACTCGGGGCCGTCTCAAAGTGCCGAAAGACGGGCAAGGCACCCCAGCGTGCCAGTCTCGCTCTCTGAAGACCGCATCGCAGGTGATGTTGCTGACCCTAAGACAGCGCCCATCAACATCAATCCCATCATGCACGCGCAATCCATTGCGCTCATGAGCGAGAGACCAATTTCCGGCTCCCCGAAAAAGCTCAATACAATCGAAAACGAAACCTTCTCTGAGGCTGAGGGGAACTTCCACTTGGGGTCCATTACTCTTCAAATGATCTTGAAACATGTGCATGGAATCGGGCTCGATACCATGCTCTGAAAGGATTTGGGACACAGGACTCTGCAAACGTGTGTGGAAACCTTTCTGCTCTGTGTGACGCCATACTTCTTGAGTCACTGCAGCCCCAACTTCGGCGCGAACAACAGCCCCTCCAGTAGGACTTGCGTCCATGCAAAAGATATCACTGCAGTATCCAACTCTCAAATCACACTGAGCTGTAGGGCCCAATACGGCCAGAACTTGAAGCTCATTCAGAGACTGTCTTTTCAAACAAAACACCTGGTCAAGCTTCTTCTCCATACCATCAGTGAAAAGCGAGTCTATGATTGAAAACAGAACACGTCTGAAAAGGAGAACATGAATCCAGCACCCAACCACCAAATTTAACAGCCTTCGTGTACAAGTGCGTTTGGAAACTATGGCAAGTGAAATGGCAGACAACAACAGCACGCGGCTTCGGGGTGCCATCACTCGACCCTTTAACCCATCAAAGTCAGCTCCTAGAATGATCCCTTGAGTGCAGTTTCGTTTTTGTTTCTTACTCTGCTGCACAAGACCAACGGATCTATAAGCCTTTGAAGCTAACTGGAAAATCTCGGTGTCTCGAAGTGGAGGCTCCTCTGGGATGTCTTTTATCGGTAATCTCTGAAGGCCAACATGATCATCAATAGCCAAGAGCTCGATAAAACTACCTCTAGGGACCGGGTGCCTATACTTAAGGGTTTCCTCATCTTTCATGGAACCACACAAGAACTTAAGGACATTGCCATGCGCTTGTTGCGCAATTTCAACTGCAAGGTTGTCACCCATAGCAAGAGTTGAAAGACAAAGCAACAAATGAGAGTGCTTGGCATGCTCCTCCTTGAAGCATTTCAGGTGCTCAAGTTCATGAGGTTCAAACTTCATGCGAAAGGCGTTTCTCCTAGCCCTATTTTCACTCACCCGAAAGGTGTAGTAGAAGTCCGAAAGATCATCAGCGGAAAACCGAAAAGCTTCCCAAGGTTCCAAATGTAAGAGGCCTAGCATACAACCAGGGGCGAGGGTCTTGGTTGACTCGCTAACAGTCCACATTCTACCATTGAGGTTCTGAGGGTTAATAATGAGGCGATCGAATTGCGAATCCTTACCTACAGCAAACATCCCTACAGCTTCGTCCCACTGCTTTTGGTCTGCAGGCATAAGTCTCAACGCTCCAAAGTCGTCCCATCTCTGTGCAAGATCCAGCAGCTCAGACCTAGAACAGTTTATCTTTGCAGGCCTAGAGGATTCCCAAAACTGCTCAGGCTTACGCATGACTTCCGGATCATTAAAAGCAGCTTTTACAACTGGATCATCCAAAAAAGCACTAGCTTCGAAACTTGGTGGGAACTGCCACTTGATCCTTGATGAAACGACAGGTCGAGCCCCTGACATAGGTAACGGCTCCGAGCGGTCGACAGGACATTGGTGGTCTGATTTGGGCGACTCATTTTCTTTGTAAGGACCTCTTTTACCAAAATGGCTGGAATAGGGGTCCAGTTCGGCATGCAGTTGTATTAAACTCTGCTCGAGGTCCTCACCCGCCAATCGACATGACGGTAGTTCCTGCAAAAGCTTAATTACACCTTGGTACTTTTCTTGGAAACGACCCAAATCATCCCCAGTGAAGGCATCGGCAGACAGATGATGCTCCACTAAGCTTTCAATATGTTCAATAATCAAATGTTGAACATTGGAAATGGGGTGTCCTAAGCAAGGCTCAGGCGGCGGCTCACTCACATGGCCCAAGGTCTCCCAGTTCAAACAAGCTATCACCAACTGCACAGCTCTGTGTCGTGTTTGCAGCTGACGCTTCCGCTTGCGTCTCCTGGGTCCAAGGTGTTTGCACGCCGTCCAACTCCACCTGGGCAGAGGGACAGGCCACAACGTCCTCTTTGCAGAGGACTGCACATTGGAGACGGATTGCAAAACAAGGCTCTTCCTACAAAACTGGCTGAGCGCAGTCCGTGAGCTAAGGAAGTCCCTATTAAAATCTTGCATCAAATTATATGGATCAAAAAACTCAACCGAACTCGACGCGGCAGGCGTCTGGCTACTGCTAGCAAGGGGCTTGTTCGGGGAAGAACTAGATTTGTTAACCTTAGGCAGTATGAATCTGTCTTGCTTTGCCCGCTGTGTTGCACGCAGGTCTGTAGAGCTGTAGGTGTTTGTAGAGGTTTCACACTCACCTATTGTGGTAGAAATGACTTCATGTTCACCCAAGCCTACCAGACCTGAAACATGATTAGGCTGATGGGATAAGCATGCTCGCGGCGGAGCGGCAGGCAGGCTTACAGGCAGAAGAAATTCAACTGGCGCTGCTACTGGCCCAAGCGCGGGAGAATCGCTACCGGCACGGTGCGGGATGCAGCTGGCACAATGGTAATCAAGACTGTTTACACGTTTATCGGTTTTACCATGTCTTACGAATGAAACCTCAGTACGATCCAAGGCACTGCAATGTCCCAAAGCAGCCGGCTGGCTCATACATTCACTCAAAGACTGAGGCTCTCCGGGCGCGCAAACCCTCAACTGGCAGCTGCGTCTGCACTGTCCCCATCCTTCCCGGATCCCTTCTTGCCCTTCTTGCCCTTTGGTTTCGGTTTGGGTTTTGGCCCGTCTTCGAGTTCCGAGCCGGCACTGGTCTGCTTGCCTTTTGGTTTTCCAAGAGTCTGAATTCTGCCTTCGATGTAGTCGAGGTCCTTGAGGAAGGCCAGATTCGCCGACACCCACAGGGGTGAGGCAAGCCGGGTAAAGGGCTTCAACCCTGGGGTCCTCTTTACCGAGAAGTGCAGATGAGTGTTTGGTTCTGGGAACCCTGACATCAGCCACCCCAACTCCAGTCTGGAGTTGTCCAAGGCACTCTGCTCTATGAAAAACAGCATCCTGGCAATGAACCCTTTCATGATGGGATCCTGGGCAACATGAGCTATCGACCACCCTTCTGCTGCGAGAACGGCAGAATGGGCTAACATCTTGTTTTCGGCCAAGGGGACTCGCCGCTCTATGTAGAGATGCATCAGGTCCTTGTCTTCCTTGTCCATCGAGATGCCCAATTCCTGCATGGCATTCAACCGAGCGACTTCTCCGACCTTGGGAAGATCCTGAACTGTCCTCAGGTACATGTCTCTGGCCATGCACCCTCTGGCACTTCCGGAGTTGTTTCCGGACTCGCTGCCCCCTCCGCTTAGCAGGGTAGACATTGGATCTTTGGGCGCCATCATGCGTTGCATCAAAACAGAGTTCTGCTTCATCTGAAGCAACAGCATCCGTTGAATGGGGTCTGCAACCAACTCCGGTTCCAAGTCCCACTCCGGTCCTGGCAATGCTGGATCTTCGATGACACCCTTCTCGGCCTCTGCATGGAGACCCTCTAGCATTGGATACATCTGTTGCTGCCTTAAGGATTGACGCTGAACTGCTGCTCCTAAACGACCCGGCGGAGTGCCGGCCAACTGTTGCAACTTCATCAATTCCTCGGAATTGAGTCCTGATGAGGCAGGCTGGGTTCCAAACAAGCGTTGTTCTGCTCCATGCTTGGCTCCTGGCAGCAAGGGGACGGTGGAAGGTCCCGGCGGAATGACTGGCTGGCGGGCACGAGCCAACTCTGCTTCCAAAGCGCGCGTGCGCTCTTTCAGCTGGGCAACCTCGCCCTGATCCCCATTTGCAGCAAGAGACGGGGAAGGCACATCTGACTCCTCGTACTCCACTCCTGTGTGATAGTCGGCAGTCACCTCGGCGTCCAAACCAGCCCCCTCTCCCAACCAGGTTTCTGCTAGTCGCAAGGCTGAAGAGGCGGATGGACGACCTGACTGGTCTCCAACCTGGAAATGGACCACACGAGTATTTCGCGCAGCCGCTCCTCTGAGCACGGTGGACTTGAAGAAACTGCTGATGGCTTCCCATCCTAAATCTACTAGTTGACATTCGGCCAGGCCCAAAACTTTGCTGCGCGAAGACACTACAGTCACCTCGCTGTCCCAGAAAACAGGTTCCACCTGACTCTCTGAACTGGCATGCAAAATGGCAGTCTGAATCTCGTCGCTCTTTGGGATCAAAAGCATAAGGCCATGCGAACGAACCAAAATGGGAAAACATGCACCTACTGCGACTGAACCAGCACTCTTGGGATCTTCGGCCTCTAAAGGGATCCATATTGATGTGAGACTGAGCACTGACCTCTCGTCGACTCCACGAACAAAGCCAACGACCTCCTCCCAGGTCAAGGGAGGCCCTTTGAGCCCTGAAGAGCTAGAGGTCATCAAGCGTCTCCCTCTGTCCGAGTGAGAAAGGCTTGGCACACACAGGTCCTATCGAAGTCCGAACGTTGGTGCCAATGAGCAGCCCAAAAACCTTAGAGGCAGTTGGGCAACGAAAGAGGCTAAGGGGAGTTCCTGCAAGGCGTCGATGACACTCGGGCCTGGATAGCTACCTCAGGTCGATGGAGGTTTGACCCCACTCCTCGCACCACGGTGTTTTCGTCAAAGGTCCCGACGGTATTCAGCAAGCCTCTGTTGCACAGAGGGAGGCACAGAGGGAGGAACGGGCCCCAGATATGCAGCTCCAAGCCGCGCCACCAAGAAACCAAGCCGCTGACAGCCCCTCGAGAGGATGCAGCCTACAGCGCAGCCCCCGCAGCAAATGCCAATGAGGAAGGCAAGGAGAATCAGGAATGCACCCAAGCCCCAAGGACACGACGCAGTCCCCGGAGTGGACCAGTATCGGGCTTCACGGATCAGATCAGCTAAACTGAACGCTAAATTCATTCACTTGACCCGAGAAGCTGACACCCCAGTGGTCACATCCAACTCTAGGGGATAGCTGTGCATATATATCAAAATGAACATGTATGTCAATGATACTGCTTTAGTCTCTTGCTTATCTGGCGTTTTATGATGTATTGTTATATCCTTTTTGAAAAAGAATATCTCCCAGGAGCACCCATATTGTTAATAAACAGGGGGCCGCCCCCTCCACCCTCACTTTGACCTTGAATAAAGTTCATTCCAGGTTCTAAGAAATTAGTTTAAGAAGTAAATGAAATGCAGGTTCCTGGAATTGAGATAAACTAGATTTCTCTAAGAAAAGAATAATAAGGAAATGAAATGATTTCTAGTTTAACAGAAAGGACATTCTAAGAAAGGAGTTTAATAAGTGAAATGAGTGTTTACTCGCAACAGAAAGATAATTCTAAGAAAGCAATTCAATAAGGAAAATATATTACTTATAGATACTTAGAACAGGCAACACAAATGCTTAGCTTTATTTAGGATGCACTTTATTTAGGGTATAGTGGCTTCAAGAAATGAGTGTAATACGGAAATGAAATGAATCTTTACTTAGAAAAGAAAGGAAATTCCAAGAGAGGAGTTTAATGAGGAAATGAAATTATTTAGATTCCTAGATCCGGCAACACAAAATGTTGAGCTTTATTTAGGGTGCACTTTATTCAGGGTATGGTGGCTTCATGAGGGGTAGCCTTTCCAGAGTCGTTTTGATCAAATTTCAATTGCTTTAAAAAAGGGTTTTATATAGACTTTTCAACCCAGGAAGCACAGTGGCGCCAGTACTCGGCAAAAGCCGTTGTACAAACCATGAAATCGCGACAAAGTTTGAGAGAAAACCAACAAAACCAAAAACAAAAACATAAAAACCAACAAGCCCAATGCTTGAGACAAAATTGAGGCAAAAGCCAAAAACAAATAAAACACACAAATCTAACCCCGGTGCTGAGCACCTACCGTAAGAACCTCTAGTGTGTCCACACTGTTTCGGGAAAAAATACATACCTGCAGGTAAAACATTTTGCAGTTTCTCCACTGACTCCACTGTGGAGTGCCAGGCGTCACAAAGGTGCTCGTCATCCGATAGGGCACCACCTGTGTCGTTTCGCTCGGGTGGCTCACAGGCATCCGATGAAACAGGAAGGATCCAGTCTGGTCGGTGGTTTCAACGCAAACAAAGGGACTAATCCCTAGGGCTCCTGGCCCACATCCCCAGAAGGTGGTTGGGGTGGGTTTGGGGGGTCTAACCACCTTCTGAGGATATGGTTGGAGCCCTAGGGAATATGAGTCAGTCGGCTTTCACTCGTCCCAAGTAAAGGTTGAACATAGATTTGATCTCGAACCGCCAACACCTAGCAGTATCGCCTATACTAACCGCTCCGTGAAAACCCACCTGAAAAAACCCAGACCCCTGGGCCCCTGACACAAGGGTTCGGGTCCGATGGAGGGTCCAGGGTTCTCCGCCAATCCATAGGACCCACGAGTCGCACGGTGTAGAAACAATATATATACGTACACAAAAGATCACTAAAAGTCATCAACAAATACGATTCTACACCAGAAAGACTAAGGCTAAGTATACGGGAGACTGTTCGGGTCTAAAGGTTCGCACGCCTGTTCGGACGACGTCCAGCTTCGGGTTGCGAACAGGACCCTGGAACAGGGTCCGTTCTGCTACCAACTGCACCGACGACTGGGAGGCATTCCTCCTGACAGGTCTGGATACATATCAAGGTATCTCAAGGTGACTCAAGGTGATACATCTGCCAGGACCTTCAAAGTGACCTTTTGAGATCCCACAATGAGGTCACTTTGAAGGTCCGGGTGGAGACCCCCAAAATACTTGCCAGACGGTCTTGTGACGAGAGAATTCAGGTCCAATCAAGTATACGGTCTTTTCTTGTATTCCCCAACCAAATACTGGCACTGCCTGCTGCAGTTGTGTATATTGAGGCCTCTCGACTAGAATAGGTCACTGCAAGCACGCAGTTCAACCAAAAACGTAACCTGTTTTGCGCCATAATGAAGCGGCTTTGCCGCAAAAACGAAAAGAATTCACCACCTGTCGATGTAATTAGTGAAGCATTTATAAGATTTTATAAGAACTACGTACTTCATCTCGGTGAGAGTCATCAGCCACAAACTGGAACCTTGAGGCCCATCATGAACTGAAGAAACAGCTTAAAGGATTGCTTTACCTCCAGGTGTTTGTTTCATTTTGTTTCATCAACCTCCCATTTTTCCGTGGGTTCCTCCCCTTCCCCTTCCCCACCTCGCTCACAATCTGCGAGGGCAGCTCGAAAAGCTCCTTGGTGAACGGCCGAAGTAACAGCAAAGCTCTGATCCCAGAACTCGCTTTTGATACCACTTCCAAAGGTTTTTTGTGACCGTAAATAGGACCCATCACCTGGGGTACCCAACTGGGATACTCGAACTAGGGTTCTGAAGAACCTCTGCTGGTTCCACTGACTCCTGATTTTGCCTCCAACTGGGAACCAGAATCCACCACCACCATCCCTGGGGGTCCAAGTACACTGTGATGTAGGTGCTCCAGCTCCACGTCCCGTCGTACCGAACCTGAGGTACGGAACGAAAACGGATAGCTCGGGCAGAGGCCAAATGCATGTACCCTCGATCTACCAACCCATACGGCGGCCATTTCTCTCGCCGTGTTCGGTTGTTTGGTGTCAGGAACCTTCGGACCTCCAGGATGGAGATGGACTTTATATCCCAGACACGACGTGTCTGGGACTGCCGGTCCGGACTGCCCATCAGGCCAGGGGTGGTGCCAGAGGGGTCAATGGGGCGGCAGTCCTATGGCATACATGGAGCGTCTGGGTTATATGGAGATGGAGATGCCCGATGCAAACCGAGTCCCCTCCCTCCATTTCGAAGGGGTCGGATCCGACCTGTTGGACAGAAGGGGTCCGGTCCGTGAAAACAAAACCATCTGATGGTTGTTGTAGAGGTTGAAACCCGACATGGTCATACTATGGAATATGATGGAATTATATGGAATTTATACCTACATTGTGATACATTGACCACTGAAGTCACTAACCCTATAGGTGAATTGATGCCACTCATGTGTCTTGGAGGGTAACTTTGATGAACTTTGGGCCAATGATTTTCAGTTCAAACCACCTGTGCTGTCGGATCGCAAAGCAGGGTCCTTGTGGACCTCCCTCTGGACCTACCAGCAGTGCTTTCCCCAAAGACCCATCATCCTCAGGCCACTGGGACCGCCAGAGCACCAAACCACCAACCAAAAGTCTTGATCAAATGTGATCCATGGTCCACGGTGGTTTCAAACATCCCTGCATATGTCCATGATCTTGGGAATGGACATGACTTCAAAACCACTTCAAACCCTACACTCGTGGCGTTTGTTTGCTTCGTTCTGACCCTCCAAGAAACCGCCCACAAACCATGTGGCTTGGCAGAGCCGCTCGATGGGGCCAATTCGGATCTATCGGTCATGGCCCGATTCTCGCAGATGGCAGACCACCTGTATTTGTTCTTTCGCAAACAGATTGGCTCACGCAAGGGGCAAACCTGTTTGGCAAAAACACCAATTAAACAAGTCTAACAAGTCTATTGTTTGGCAGTGTCCGTGGTTCAATGTCCCTTGTTTCCCGGCATGGGCCTACTGTATGATAATTCCTCCCGTTTTCAATTTTCTATACTGTCTGATCATGTTTGCACAATGGGCAAGATGCCAGAAGACCGTTAACCCACCAACTCACATGATTGGAAGGGGTTTGGCCTTCATTATCTACATCTCTAAGCAAAGCTCTAAAGGATGTAAGGATGGCCCCAAAACATCCAAAAAACTAACATTGAAAAACAACACACAAAACAATGCACCCACCTTGCGCCACGAATTGCACAGGTGCTGTGGCTGGCCACGGCCATCTAAATTCAATTGACCATAGACAAATATATGCGGGTTGTTGTCTCATATGTGGCAAAAACATTTTAACCTAGCGCCGCACTGTCTTGTTGACCTCTGGTGGCAAGCCACTTCAAACTCCTGGAGTGAACTGTTGCTGCCATCGCCGCGCGTCCGCCCTAACAAGTCGCCAAGCATCTAAGTGAGGGTTCGACTGGTACAGGTGGAGGTTGGGTCCAATGCTCCCGGCAATCTTAGCAGGGGCAAAGTCTGAAACAAGCAGTTCCCGTCAGTTTCACGGATTTTTGTAATTCTAAACGCTGAGCTATGCATCTTCCCATGCTACCCGCAGCTAGCGCCCAGCTGACTGCGCTACGCGAGGACCACCAAAGTGATGTCCAGTTGCACTGTTTCACGCTGTGGATTAGTGAAGTGGACACCTTGCCCGGCGCCGAGTGAAGCAACAAAAAGTGCAACAGTTGAAATGATGGCCCTGCTGGCCGCGCATCTGCCCGCAATACAGGTATATATGTATAGGGCATTTGTAGAAGAGTCATGTGTGGCTGCCCACAAAGCCCTTGGTCTTAAGCAGCTTTTACTCGCGAGTACCAAACTAAAAATAAACAGTTATCGGTTTTGAATTGGACCTTCCTTCTCGTGTGACAGTGTTGTGAGGTCGCCGCATACTTGTGATCATATGCAGCGCCGGTGTCATCGGCTTTGAGGTGGACCTTATTGTTTTACAGGGTTTTGTGCACAAACCTACCCCTCTTAACTAAAGGGGTCTTCGCATGTCTTGACTGTAGCTCAACAAAGCCTCAACATATGAAATATTCCCATGCATGTCTTCATGCTGTCTCCGTCATGATCAGCCGCAGCTGTGCAAGACTTCAAGCCTTCTGACGAATCCGGTTTGTTGATTCTCGGTGTTAGATAGTTGGAATGGTGTCTAGAGATCGTCATCAAAAACAGGATTTGCGATTATAGGTTCAAGAACATGAAAAGTTACGTTACTTCGAGTCATCCCAACCATGACATTTCAGTCTGACAAGCTTTTTGCATGTATTGAAGCATTATTTTGGCATTGTATCTGGCGTATCTTCTGACATTCTTTCTGGCATATCTTCTGACATGCGTTCGTCTGACTTCTTTCTGACATTATTTCCGGCGTATCTTCTGACATTCAT